TTTAAACAGCATATATAATATAAACCTTTTTTTTTTTTTTAAGTCTGGAAAGATACACACCAAAAATTTAGTACAGGTTGTCTCTAAGTACTAGGGTAAAATATTTTTACATTGCCTAATAATTTTATAATGAAGACATTCTTTTTTTAAGATTTTATTTATTTCAGAAAGAAGGAGAATGAGAGAGAAAGAGAGCACAAGGGTGGGGAGAGGATCAGAGGGAGAAGCAGACTCCCTGCTGAGCAGGGAGCCCGATGTGGACTTGATCCCAGGACTCTAGGATCATGACCTGAACCAAAGGTAAATGCTTACCCTTAATGGATGGACTCAGCCACCCAGGCGCCAACACATATTCTCTCATAGACAAAGAACACTTACTGCTTCTTAAGTAACAAGATTTGTAAAGAAGAACATGTAGGAAAATATAAGTGTAAAAAACAAATGCAAAATTACAATTGATAGAAATATGAAAAAACTAAGTTTTTAAAAAAATTTTCCCCAGCATAAAGAATTAAGTATAGTTCCACTTACAAAAATGGAAAGAAAAAAAAAAAGATGAAAAAGTTAATGCAAAGAAGAAAACAGAAAATTCACATCACAAAATCTTAATCATTTTAGAAGGAAGCAAGTTCATCTCTAAGAATCAAGCGTTTCAAGATTGGGGTTAACAATCTGAGACTGAAAACACAACAGAGAAAATGAGTCAACTTTGGGATGAGAAAAGGATTAGAAAGCAAATAGTACACAGGCAGCTGGAAAACAAATATTCAACAGTCACCAAAGCTGTGACTTTCTTCAGAAGTGCTGGGCAGAAAAAGGAAACAGTGGTATTTACAAGCTGAGAATTGACCGGTTATATACAGCAAAGGTCAAGGAGAGGAATATGAGGTGCTAGTGAGTTCACAGAATATGAACTACAAGGTTCAGCACCCGAAAGAAGGTAGAAAATTAACAGCCTGGGAGGTGACAATGAGGACAAAAAGCTGGTTCATCAGATATGATGGAAAACAGAAACACGGGCTTTTGAATCACCACCTCTGGTGAGTTTAAGACTTGAGGTAGTTCAAAATGATGACAAGGTTAAATAACTCGGTCAACCGTGTAGGTTGCTGATGTAGAGTGGTAGTAAAGGTCACTAGAGTAAGTCAACTGTAGTTATTTACAAATGTAGCCCACCTTTCTGGTCTGTAATGAATGTAACTGTTACTTTAACCTCTACATACTTCACTTTCCTCTGACTCAGACATATCCTTTGCAGTCTGACAGGAATTTGGGGGGCACTTAATCTCTCTCTGTACTTTATTCAACCACAAAATGAGAATAAGGAGATGAGATATGATTCTCAACCTTGACTACACATTAAAATCATAGGTGCTTAAAAAAAAAAACCCCACACACAGACAAAACTACTTATGCCTTGACCCCAAACCCAGTAATTCTGACTTGGTTCTAGGGTGGAATTTAGGCATCAGTATTTTTAAGCAGTTCCTCAGGGAATTCTAATGTGCAGCCAAGGTTAAGAACTAAACTACATATTTCTAACGGCTTTTTTTTTTTTTTTAAGATTTATTTATTTGAAAGAGAGAGCACAAATGAGCAGGAGGAGCAGAGAGAGAGAGAATCTCAAGCAGACTCCATGCTTAGCTTGGAGCCCCACTCGGGCTTGATCCCACCACCTGGAGATCAGACCCGAGCCAAAACTGAAGTCAAATGCTCAACCAACTGTGCCACCCAGGTGCCTCTAAAAGTTGCTTTTTTTTTTTTTTACTTTGAGAGAGAGAATGAGAGAGAGGGAGAGCACAAGGGGGGTAAGGGTCAGAGGGAGAAGCAGGCTCCCTGCGCGATGCGGGACTCAATCCTGGACTTGAGCCGAAGGCAGTCACTTAACCAACTGAGCCACCCAGACGCCCAAGTTGCTTCCTTTTAAAATTCTATGATTCAATGTAAATGACAACCACTTTGTTCATTTGCTAATATAACTGAGTATCATGCACCAGGCAATTCCATAAACATATTTTAGTAAATCCCCACAACACTTTGAGGCAAGTATTTGTGTCCATTTCACAAATGAGTCCTGTGAAGCTTAGAGAAATGAAGCAACCTGTTCTAGAGTCACAAGCCAGTAGGAGCAGAGCTATGGATACAGGTTTGTTCCAGTCCACCCTACTGCAACTGCTTTCTCTAGCACTCACAGCAGCTACTTGAACGCCTTCTCTTCCTTCCTAGGACCTCACAAATTGGGCACACCAGTTTGTGATTTATGGATTGGAGGGAAAGTTATTTGGGGGGGGTCAGGGAATTAACCCCAAACTCTATAGTAATTTCATTACAGAATTAGTAAACACCTTCACCTAGAGAGGTCTGCAACCTGACACAGCACTCTGAAAGTGTATCTATGAAGTATACCTTATTCAGTTAAGCCAACAAGAAACTATTAAGCATGCAGCTGGCATACAAAGCTGGTTCTCAAAGATAAGCCTATCAACAGAAAAGCAATTTTTATATGCTTTCCATTAAGTAAGGCATTCTAAACCAAAGTCCTAAGATAATTCTAACAAAATAATTGACAGAGAAATGAGAGTTGCTCTATCAAAGAGCTTAAATGTGTAAACATGACCTTCAAATTTATCATAAGGAATTACCTCTATTTCCATCTAGTACAAATAAATTCAATCACACTTTAAAATTATTATTCTTTTGGTGACACACTGCTTCTTTGTTGATTATATCATTATCTACTTGGAAATTTCATAAAAATTCAAGTTCTGTATCCCCACGCCAAAATTTGAGTTAACAAGACAAATTCTCAAAAAAAAAAAAAGTATTAGAGAAGATTTAACTTCTATGCCCATGGAAAGGGCAATTTATTTTATTTTAAAGATCTTATTTGAGAGAGAGAGCAAGCATGTGCGAGAGCTCCTGAGCGAGCAGGGCAGGGAGGGGCAGAAGGGGAGGGAATCTCAAGCACACTGCTCTGAGTGCGGAGCCCCACATGGGACTCCATCTCACAACCCTGAGATCACGACCTGAGCCGAAACCAAGAGTTGGATGCTTAACCAACTGTGCCACCCAGGTGCCCCTGGAAAGGGCAATTTAATAAGAAATTCATGAAGTATATTTATAAGGAACAGATGTGTCCTCATCCATTCAAACCTTTCCTGAGCATCTGCTATGTTCTCTGCACACTGGGGATGAAGCGGCAAATCAGACTCCATGCAATGCCTGTAGTTAAGGAGGTACCATGACTGATCAGTGTAGTATTTACTAGACTGCAATGAGATAAGTGAATTATTCTTGGGGAGAGAAAGGGGGTTGGGTAAGGAGAACAGCACAGAGAAGGTGTTAAAGTATAGGCTCAAGTGAAAATTCCACTACAAGAACCCTTGTAAATCAGCTCTCTAGGAAACAAGTATATAGAGGAGCTAAAATCAGAAAGAGCAGCAAAGACAGAGGAAACAAGGTGGACAGAGATTGCTCACAAGTGTTCCGCATGCTACAAAGTTAATGCTATAGGAAAAACAGGAAGGCTTCAGAGTCATAAAGACCTCAGTTAAATACGTTTGGCTGCAAGATTTATGAAGTTAGTTAAGTCACCTCATTCCTAGGTTAACTCTTCATCCAGAAAAACAAATGTGTATAATGGTGTTTACTTGACAATGAAGCAAAACAAAAAGGATTTAAGAAGGAAATTAGCAGCCAAATCTGAGCAGAAGCTCTATTATTACCTCTAGGATTAGAAGAGAAATTCTCCAAGACATGTTTTAGGGTTTATCCTATTTGTGGTTCAGAGCCCCTTCAGTTCATTTAACAGAATTTTAAAGCTAAGATGCCTTTATTAAAACACATCAATTTACATTCATTGGGGTAATTGAGGCTGAATCCTTTTTGATGCCTTGGGTTAGTATACCAGTTTTATTTTTTGAGGCGATAGCATGTGCTTTCCAATTAAGTAGGAAACTTAATACCATTCACCTCCAGTGCTGTCAGGACCCGAAGAGATTAAAAATAGAAGCCTTCGTTAATACTGAATTAACCCGAGGACCCCCTGAGCTACTATAGTACAGGAAAAAAGATAAATGCTCAAAACATGGCAGGCTCGCACCAAACGGAGGAAAAAAAACTTCGTAATGTCCAGATTACTTCACCTTAAGACACATGCCTTTAAGTCTGTCAAAGTTCCTAAGTCTGTCTGTATTAAGTCTCTTCTGTAACGTACTAAAACACAACAAAGGTATTTATCAACTTACATACTTTGTGAGTCTGAATTACAAAAGGGCTTAGTTATCTGTAACCTTAATACTACCATTTCCACCGCACACTCACGAGTTACTGCTATAATGCAAGAACACACAAGGGAATTCAAGCAACATGAGCAGCAAGCTCTCGGCCCTCGGAAAAATTTTAAAAAAGGAAAAAAAATTCGGCCGAAGACCATACAACTTTAAAAGACTAAATAAACGTGTTAGAGCCAACGCTTCTTCCATCAGAGCGAAATCTGCGGTGCCATTTTTTTTGCCCCAAGTCACATAAAAATATGCTGTTCAACTTACAACGTCCCTAATGCCCAGACCCCGCAAACTTTTGGGACAGAAAGACGTTGGGGCCCTGAGACTCCACTGGCCGCGAACGGGACCCCAGTCCTCACGCCTCGCAACTTCTCGCCCGACCTCGGGACGCCCCTGGCACCTCCGCCCGTCCCCGGCCCCCCAGTCCGCGGACCCTGGGGACAGCCCCCGAGCCCGCGGGCGCAGGCGGCGGTGTCCTGCGGGCGGGCGCGGGTCGCCCCCGGCGTCCGCGGGCCAGCCCCAGCGCGCGGGGAGCGGCCGGGAGCGCCCCGTTTCTCACAGACCCCAACATGGCGTCGGCCGCCGCCCGCGACGACGACACCTCCCCGCGCCGCAGACGGCCCGGGGACCGCGGAGGGAAGCGCCGGAAAGTTTCGCTTCTCCTCTACCGGCCCGCCAGGGAACGGCGGACAAGCAACCTCGGGCTTCACCTACCCAGCCGGGCGCGGGCGGCGGCGACAGCGGCGAAGATCCGACTCCTCCTCGTCCGGGGCGCCAGGCGCGGACTCTGCCCGCTCCGCCGCCCCAGCCTCCCGGGGTGTGTGCAGCCAGCGGCCCCGCGCAGCCGGCGCGATCCGGACGCGGCGGGCGGGCGGGCGGGCGGGCGAGCGGGCGGCACCGCCGCTCGCAGGTGACTCCCCCGCCCCTCCAGTCGAACCCCACAACGGCCGCCTGGGCTGGCCTCTCCCCTGCGCGGGCACGGGCGCGCCGCCGCCCACACGCCAGGCGCGAGCGCTCGGGCACGAGCACACCCACAAGGCTCACTCCCCGCCCTTTCTTGCCTGTTCCCTCGCCCCGCCCGTGCGGCCCCGCGCGACGTGCTCGAGGGGGAGGGGCCTCAGCGAAGGCCACACCCACCTAGGCAGCCGGGACGGAGGGTTGGTTCCTCCGCTCGCTGTGCGGACTCGCACGCGGGAATCTTGGGTGCACGTGGGCCGTCTTACCTGGTCTTCTGGCTCTTGGCAATCCTTTGTAAAGGATTGTTCATCTCAGTACGAGGTTTTTAGGAAAAATGGAAGGAAGGTTGGGTTGCCTTTCCCCTGCCACCGAACCGGCATCTCCAGGGAACTCAAGAACTTTCTGCGGGCGGGAAAGAAAGGCTTTTTGGATGTTAGATGCCCAAAGGCGTCCGGGCAGAAGTCTGTTTGCTCCTCGCAGTTAGCGCGGCGTTCCTGTCCGTCACACCTTTCATTCGCTTTCCCTGAAACCCCTACCTCTTGAAACCGAAACAGCTGCGGTTGCAACACATACACCCTGCGGACTCTGCACAGCCCTTTAAGTGCATGCCTTTTTTGCCTGCCTTAGAACTCTGGTCTTACCAGAACTTTTCTCTGACGCGGCAAAACCTCATCTACCTACTTCACATACTTGGAAACGGTAATGATAGTATATAAGGTTAAACCCGCCCTTCCTCATACCGCAGCAGCTCTTTGCTAAGCACGCTGGTGGGTACGTGGAGAGATAGCAAGTTGTCAGAGATGGCCAAGGAATGGGGGAAGGGGATGGCAAACTCCACACAAAAAGTGTGCAGGTGGAAAATAGATTTGGGTAAATTTTATCTTTCCCATTGGTCTATTATTGCAAAGATATTTAACCTTTGTTTGATAGTTCTTGAATTGTAGCCGCCAGCGCCCAAGCTGCACGTAAATGAGCACCCACCAAGGGAACATGAGCAGGTCTTGCTTCTGATCCGCTTTCTTTCTCTCTGGGATTCTACCTCCTCCAGGTCTTTGGCTCCCATCCTCCCCTATTCCAATGTCTCAGAAACAAATCTTTTTGTAAAAAAATTAGTCACTAGAACAAAACTAGCAAGGATGAACTTTTTTTTAGATGGGAAAACTTACAGTATCACCATCACACAAATCTTCACATGTGTTAGCTATAGTTGTCTCTGTAGACAAGTACAAATGTCCCCTGGACACTGGGTTTCAACCATCACCCTGCCTGCACCTTCATTCAGCCTCCTCCCTCTCTACATGCAAAGCAACATTTTGTCAGTGGAAAAAAAAGGTGGGCTTGATCGCCCCAAATCCCTTTGAATTTTGAGATTAGCAGTTGCTATGTCTAGTCTACAGCAATTGTCACCAAACATTTTTGGTCACTCAGCCATCAGTAAAAATGTTTGTCCACTCTCCCCTCCCAGTATACTTATTTAGCTTATCCTAAAATGCATGGAGTTAGAAGCCAAAAGAACTGTAATGAAAGCAGCTACGTCACAGTATCATTAGGAAGATTAAATGAGTAAGTATTTGTAAAGCATAGTGCTTGGTACCTGGTAAGTGCCACGTAAGGGTTAGATAAAAATTATTGTATATAATATATATTAATTACATACGTTATAGTATATGTAATATATAGTATGCATATATATACACATATCTATTATATAACTAATATATTAGGTACATTATAAAACATACACACAAAAAATCAGAAATAATTATTTAAAACATTGTGTGAGGGGCGCCTGGGTGGCTCTCTGCCTTCGGCTCAGGTCATGGTCCTAGGGTCCTGGGATCGAGCCCCGCATCGGGCTCCCTGCTTGGCAGGAAGCCTGCTTCTCCCTCTCCCACTCCCCCTGCTTGTGTTCCCTCTCTCGCTGTCTCTCTCTGTCAAATAAATAAATAAAATCTTTTTAAAAATAAAAATAAAAAAATAAAACATTGTGTGGGTTTTCTTTCTCTACTCTGCATATTCTATCCCCTCTCTGGGCTGTGCACAACCCAGTTCAGACTCCATTGATTTAGAGCTGTACCAACAATATGGTAGCCACTAACCACACGTAGTTATTAAAAATTCCGTTCCTCAGTCACACTAACCACATTTCAAGTACTTGATAGCCACATGACTACTGGACAGTGCAGATATAAAGTATTTCCATTGTTGCAGAAAGTACTATTGGATAGTACTGACAAAGCTGAAATAAACAAGGGACAAAGGCAATAGGATCAACTCCTGCCTGAGACCTGTAACCATGGCACCATGTTCAAATCGAGTGATAAGCTCTCTCTTTGAGCTTCCCATCTCCTCTGTAAAATGAAAATAAAAATAGGAACTACCCCATGGACTGCTGAGCAGAGGAAATAAGGTGTGTAAAGTTTGTGGCGGAGTGCCTAAAACTTAGAGGAACTTGAAAATCTTGGCAAAATTTGAGTTTAACCCAATTCGATAAACCTGAAAGGCAAAGATCTTATTATTGTCCTTGATTTTATTTTTTTATTTTTTTATTTTTTTTAAAAGATTTTATTTATTTATTTGAGAGAGAGAGAATGAGAGATAGAGAGCACGAGAGGGAAGAGGGTCAGAGGGAGAAGCAGACTCCCCGCTGAGCAGGGAGCCCGATGTGGGACTCGATCCCGGGACTCCAGGGTCATGACCTGAGCCGAAGGCAGTCGCTTAACCAACTGAGCCACCCAGGCGCCCCTGTCCTTGATTTTAATGGGTAAGTTTTTCAAGGTATTTATTTTGGAAAAGACAGAGTTCGGTGAACTTTTAGTTGAAAGCAGAGCATTCAAAGAGAGCTGGCAGACACCTGGATTTTACTTACTCCTCGATTTCTTCTTTCTGAAGTCCCTGGTCCTCTCCAGGTTATGGTTGTCTCAGCGGAATCGCACTCCCACCCACAAGCCTGGTGAGTCATCACTGTCTCATCCTGTTTCCTAGTTCCTTCATCCAATCCCTTTGCTTCCCAAAAAATCGCAGGATCTACCTCCAAAACACTTCACGTGAAATCCTCTCCTTGCCTTGTGTCCCCTCCACATAGGGACAACACAGGATTGTACCAACCCCCCTGCAGAAAGCCTGCCTTCCATGGCCCCCCACAGAGGCTGCCATATACGGTTGTACAGGTTGTGGTAGAATAAAACTTTGGAAGAGTGCCTTTCACACTGGGGCATTGTAAATTTGTATTTATTACAGGTATCCTCTGGCAGATTTCAGAGAAGTGCCTTATCCTACTAAAACTATTTTACAACAATTTTCCAACAAGATAGAAATGCTTGAAGGAGGGGATGCCTTTTTCTAATTTGCCCAGAGGTGCCACGTGGAGTAGGAACATTTCTATTTCACTTACAACAAAATGCCAGTTCATCACCAGGTCCTATAAAGCCCAGCATAATCCAACCTCGGCCATCCTCTTCACCAGATTCCATTCATGTCGACCTCCTGTTGTTTTTAAAATATACCAAACTCTCTTCTGCTAGGGGACCCACTGCCCTGGCCACTTCTCTACCTAGACAGTCAAGCCCGCCACACGCCACCCTTCACATAGCTTGGCTCCTTGCCATCTTTCAGGCCTCTGTGCCCTGAGAGAGTGCCCCCATTATTCTGGGTCGCAGCCCTGTGTGTTTCCCTCATGGCCCGTACAGATCTCCCCGGAGACTGTAAGGTCCATGAGGGCAGGGCAATCACTGTCCTCTTCTCTCTCCAGTTTCTCGGTGGTCAACTTAGCACCATTGCTACCCCTCTCTACGTTCTCCTCTGCACCATGGGAGAAAGCCCAGAATTCTATTTTCCAGAAGACTTTTCCCTGAACGGTTCCTGGTTAAATTCTGCCAGTGGAGACACCTATTGAGATTCGAAAGGCAGAAGAAAAGGAGAAATTGTTATTCTCCAGGATAGCTTCAAACAGTTAGATCAGAGAGGGCTGTTTCCCTAGATTTCTGGGAAAATATCAGACAAACCTGAAAACATAATATTCTGTTTTTTAAAAGGGGTGGTAGGGCTGTATTCTTAAAAAGTGCAGTGGAAATGTTCCAGATTAAAAGAGGTAAAAGAGACATGACAGGGACGCCAGGGTAGCTCAGTTGGTTGGGTGTCTGACTCCTGATTTTGGCTCAGGTCATGATCTCAGGGTTGTGGGATTGAGCGCCGTGTCAGGCTCTGTGCTGGGTATGGAAGCTGCTTAAGGCTCTCCCTTTCCCTCTCCCTCTGCCCCTCCTTCCCCCCACCCACCCCAAAAGAAAGATGCATGACAACTAAATATAATACCTGACCCTAGACCGGGTTCTGTAGCGGAAAGGGAGAACGCTGCAAAGGACATTATTGGGCTAATTGAAAAAATTGGAATATGAACTGAAAAGTAGATAAAGGTATTACATTAGAGTTAAATTTACTGTCTTGGTTATATAAGAGAATGTTCCTCTTCTTAGGATATATACACAAAAGTATTTGGGGGGAAAGGACCATGAGGTATATAACATACCCTCAAATGATTCAGAAAACATTTCATATGTAACATATAATTGAAATATACCTCCGAAAGGAAGAAACCACCTATATATATGATAAGGCAAATGATGTAAAATGTTAGTAAGTGAATCCGGATAAAGCATATATGGGTGTTCTTAGTATAATTTCTATTTGTGCAAACTCTAAGTTTGAAATTATTCCCCCCCCAGAAAAAATAGTTTTAAAATGTATATAATAAAGCACAAAAGAAACTATACTAAATAATTCAAAACAAACAAGGATAGGTGTCTTAAATATCCAGTCTCAAAATAGGTCCAGACTGACAGCCACATGATTAAAAAACAATGTATTTTATGCTTTTTTTTCTAATTCCCCAGGGAACAAAAAGTTAATTTATCCTTTCTGCAGGAGACAAAAATGCTCCCTGGCTATGGGAGGATAATCTCTCCTACACAGGGGG